AACACTGCACTGAGAGAGAGAGGGGTTCATACAGACACACTAACTGGACACTCCAGTACATTAACACTGCACTGAGAGAGAGAGGGGTTCATACACACACACTGACTAGACACTCCAGTACATGAACACTGCACTGAGAGAGAGAGGGGTTCATACAGACACACTGACTGGACACTCCAGGACATTAACACTGGGGTTTTGGGGTATTGGGGTTCACGGCCGGCTCACTCACTCGTTCGCCGCTGTGACTGTCCCCGTGGGAGGGGCGCCCTGCCCTGAACGCCCACACTGGCACCGAGACGGGGAGCGAGCGGGCCAGCGGGGGCGCCGCGGCCGCGCGGGCTGACAGCGAGCTCATCCCTACGGCGACGGCCCTGGGGGGCGCCGGCGCGTCCTCGCTGAGGGAGCCTGCAGGGGGGGGGGGGGGATTGGGGAACAGAGGCACAAGGTCAGGGAGCCCCTGTCGCTGCCTGGGGCCGCGGGGGAGTCGGCCCGCGGAGACCCCCCCTCTGGCCGCCCCGAAGAGAAGGTGCTGCCGCGGGGGGGGGGGAGTCGGCCCACGGAGACCCCCCTCTGGCCGCCCCGAAGAGAAGGTGCTGCCGCGGGGGGGGGGAGTCGACCCACGGAGACCCCCCTCTGGCCGCCCCGAAGAGAAGGTGCTGCCGCGGGGGGGGGAGTCGGCCCACGGAGACCCCCCTCTGGCCGCCCCGAAGAGAAGGTGCTGCCGCAGGGGGGGGAGTCGACCCACGGAGACCCCCCTCTGGCCGCCCCGAAGAGAAGGTGCTGCCGCAGGGGGGGGGTGGTCGGCGATGCTGGAGTTGGGGTGCCTGGAGCCCGGTCGGAGCAGAGATCCCTGGACCAGACCCCCAGCCCCAGGGTCGAACTGGATCACCGGATCAACGCAGCCCCCCCCAGATCCTCCCAGCGGCTCTCCACCGCCCCGCTAGATCCAGAAAGATCCAGCCGGGGGCCCGGACTTCGCGCCTTCCCGGGCCCACTCCCAGCCCGCGGGCCCAGCAGCGCCGGGGGGGGAGGGGCAGCCGGACCTGACAGCCCCCCCCAACACCCCACAAACAGCCCCGTGAGGGCCCCGCGCCCCGACTGACCGTCCGTGCTCTCCTCCTCGCCGTCCGACTCGAAGAAGGGCTCGCAGTCCCGCGACACCGAGTCCTCGTCCATCGAGAAGACGCCTGCAGAGACACACGCCCCAGTCAGAGCCCCTCTCACACACTGGGACTCCAGTCTGAGAGACAG